ATGGCTTTCTGTGTCGTTTCTGGGATGCTTAGGACTCTTATTGCACTGCTGGAAATAGTTTATTTTGATGCATATGCTGCTTTTTTGCAAATTTGCAGTATAATATTTATTTAAATTTTTCCTACAGTGTATAAAAATTGGTGTATTTCAAAAATAAAACTATGAAGACACTCAAAATAAATTTCCTGTGGTAGGAAACTATTTTGTGCAACTTTTTTGTATTTACAGTTTTGAGGGATAAGCCTCTTAAATTTCTCTAACTAGAAATATATGTTAAAAAAGCAAAAACGATTTTCAATTTTTTTGTAGTTTATTGCACTTTTTTGCATTTTATGTAATTACTATGCACTTAATGCATACATATTATTAAAATCTGGGCTATAATTGTTGTATTGATGTATAGCAACTTGAAATGCTCCCAAAAATGGCACCACACCATGTAAAAATATCACTTGGTTCTATGGTAGGTCTTAAAGGGTTCATTTAGATCACATTAGATAAAACTTTATTAATCCCTCGGTTGGGTTCCCCTAATTTGTCGCTTATTGGTTGATGAGTCTTTGCTTTGAGCAAAAATGTTGTGAACGTGTTTTTTAGTATCAAAATTCAGAGGACAAAATGTGTCTTTTAAAGACTGTTACTAAGCTATGGTTGGTAAGTCAAAGAATAAGTTTCCTGAAAGGACTGTTATTTGTTTGCACAGAATAAGCTCTGCAGCTTTTCCAGCTCTCATTCTTAATGCTGCTGTTGAAAAAGCATTAAAAACAAAGTTCTATTGTTTTCATTAGAATTTTTGAATTTTTGTTTTTCATTAATTTAGCAGATTGTTTCGGGATTGCCGGTTATTGTAGCTTTAGTTTAGTCATTCATTTCATTATAAGTGTAAGTTTTTATTATCTGTTTTTGTTGTTAGATTTAAGTTCAGAGTACCGTAATTGTCGGGCTATAAGCCGCTACTTTTTGCACCAGCTTTGAACCCTGCGGCTTTTAGTCAGGTGCGGCTTTTCTATGGATTGTCCCTGATTTTTGTGATATTGTAAGACGATTTGTTTTGTTTGTTCCGCTGTTGTCCGGCACTACGTTGCCTGGCGGAAGGGCATGTGATCAGACACACAAGGGGTTCAAGAGTGGTATGTTGGTCACGTGTCCATCCGCCAGGCAACATAGTGCTGTACAAGTAGCGCAAAAAACAAACTTCAAAGTAGCGCTACGCGTTCAGCGGGAGGCGTGGATGACGAGCGGCGATAAACTTGCAAAAAGCAAGTTATGCCCAACTCCACCGGTGGAATCTGATAGCGTGGAAAAGTGTGAAAACATCCACGATCACCAACGGATTTGAAGGGCTGGACTGCTGCATGATGGAGAGGAGGAAAACGCCACGCCCCTTCTGAGGGTGTTCGACTCTGACAACGAGGATTTCTTTGGTTTTGAAAGTGACAACGAAGGAAAGAAGCTGAGAGTGGATGACGAAGCCACCCTGAGCCTGTTTGTATCCGACACTGGAGAAGAAGAGGACTTTGGTTTTAGTGCGCAGGAAGAAGAAAAAGATGGTGGTGAATGACTGACTTTTCTTCTTGTTAAAGCCGTGTCACTGCACCTGAGCCTAAAAGGTAGTCTGAATCTATTTTTCTGGTGTGCTGTAGGTTATTGTTATGTACTACATTTGTTACTCGTTTATGAAGCACAGTACATGTTTCCTACTTGTAATTACCGCTACTTGTACATATACCTAAAAAGTTATGCAAATATGTACCCATAACTTGTTTTCCAAAATATTAATAAAAGGGGTGTGTCTCCAAACAGCCATCTCTTTCCTGACAATTCCCTTTGTGCATATTCTCTTACATATGATAAGTCAAAATTGAAACACCTGCGGTTTTTGGTCAGGTGCAGCTAATGTATGCACAAAACAGGATTTTCCCCTGATTTTAGCTTGTGCGGCTAATATTCAGGTGCGCTTTGTAGTCCGGGAAATACGGTAGATATTACAAAACAAACATTAAAACTTTAGGTGCACATGGGATGTCTAAATAATGAGTTCATTGCATTCACTATGTTTTCACAAGCTTTTAACATTGTCTAAGCTATTTCCTGTCTCCCTTCTCTCACCCCAACTGGTCGCAGCAGATGGCCCCGCCCCTCCCTGAGCCTGGTTCTGCTGGAGGTTTCTTCCTGTTAAAAGGAAGTTTTTCCTTCCCACTGTCACCAAATATGACAAACTGCTCATAGGGGGTCATATGATTGTTGAGTTTTTCTCTGTATGTATTGTTGTAGGGTCTACCTTACAATATAAAGCACCTTGAGGCACCTGTAGTTGTGATTTGGCGCTGTATAAATAAATTGAATTGACAATTTCCTGTATACATTTTTGTTAACTGTTCCTGCACACCCTGACAGGTTACCGTTCCCTCACACAGCCAGCAGAATGAAATAAGCAGTCTTTCACACCTATGGCCAATTTAGAATTGCCAGTTAACTCAACAAACATGTCTTTGGTGACCCGGGAGGAACATACACAGGTGCTCAACATAGAAGGGCTCTGGCTGAGTTATTCAGGTTCAAATCCAAGCCCTTCTTGCTGTTGGGTAACACCTCACTGCTGACAGGGCTCGTGTCAGAGCTAATGTGATGTGAGTGTTGCAGATGTCTGTTATTTGTTACAGATCTAATATTCTTGCCATTGATCCAATAAATCAAGCTTTTACAGTATTTTATTGTTAAAGGCCTCCTTTTTCAGCGATAATAGACACCCTGGGTTTGTAATTTTTTGAAGTAAATAATACATTTCCTATGTAAAAAGTCGAGATTCTAATTGTTTTATTGGTTGACACTCGGTCAGATCAATCCATCTTTCTGTAAAATCCTTCACAGACTAATAGGAGGTCGGTTTTAAATAATAGCAAATGTTCATTGAAAAATAATAATTCCCGTGTGCCCCAGGGAGAAGGGACTGTTTATGTGGCTGAGAACTTACCTGTGAATGGCAGCGAACATAACGAGAAACCGCTTTACGGAAAGAACTATTCCTGAAGATAACGTCCTCCTTACAGGGTACTTTGGCCATGATCTTCAGAACATCCAGACCTGTGTTATTAGGCATACCTGTCGAAAAAAACTTTATATCATCCAAAACTGTTGTGAGACTAAAAAGATGGGATTTAACAGAAGGATAGTTTAGCATGTGTTTACCTGAGAAGAGTGCAGGGTCTACACTCACACTGAAAGCACAGATAAAGATCTTTCCATCTAGCAAAGTGACCAGGATCCACACCATTGGTGCCAGCAGGGCCCTCTGGATCATGGCTGAGAACAAGTACCTGCAAAACAAAATAGGAAAAGATGTGAACAGTGTCCATTTCTTTGGTGTGTAATACAAAAGGATCTGGATTTGGGACTTCCATCTACAAGGTCACATTAATGCTGAAATAAATAAATAAATTATGGAACTATGGAATAAATCCCATAGTAAAAAAAAAAGTCTAGTTGATAAACTGCTCTGCCTGCACTCTAGACCTATCAAAAGAAGAGGTGATGCAGCACACTACAGATTTCACTGAGCTTAATTAGTACTAATCAGTACTTTCATTTCATTTCATTTACTGTGCAGTTACATATAATAGCAACAGCAGCCTGTCTGTGTGCTTCTGTTAGATAGCAAATTCTTGACTTACTTGACAACAGCAGGATTTTTGGATCTGTTCCCAATGGGTCTCATCCACTCGTCCATCATGACACCTGTATGCCGGTTGACAAGGATTCCCAGGAAGAACAGTATAATAGGCGGGACTATCATCACTCCCAGAGAGTAAAGTTTGTTGTACTGAGGGAGGCACGGGCAGTTAAAGTCGAAGCTGGTGTAAAGCTTGACACTAACCAGGGCGAGGATGATACAAATTCCATTGGAGATGGACTCGGAGTTGGACTGGAAGTACTGCAAGACTAACTTCAGGCGCTCCATAACTTAAATAAATTGTAGGTTTGTTCAAGGTTGATGTAAAAACAGCAATATCAGCCAACTGCTGCTTTTTTAAAAGGCTACAGGCAGGAATAGAAACTGAACACCTCAGGCAGGAATGAACTAAACCGTGCTTAGTCTGCCAGGAAACAAGAAGAAATTTCCAGTGATAATTTAAAGCCCTACAAAATATTTTATATTCTGTAAAAAACAAAACACTTAGCAGTTCACTTACCTCACAATATGTCAGTGCTTTTAAAGAAAAGGCATAAATCTATAGTTTGAGCAGTCTGAGTATTAACCACTCAAGCTTTAGTGAAGCTGTAGTGAAAGGGAGCCTGGCAGTGAACCAGGGAGAGGCTGAGACCACGTGATACTGGGTTGCCTGAGCGGGTAACAAAGCTGCGTGGACACACCCTGCTATACTCTTAAAGCAGCACTCACAATTGTCAACGGTGAACAGAGAAATAAAAGAAGCCACAGCTTCTTCTAAAACTGGATTTCAAAGCATGGCAGTGCACAATACATGACCCATAATATTGTGGTCTAATGTACACTGTAAAAACAGTCTGTCATTCTACAGAATTTTCCTGTTACTTTTGTAAATAGATGAAATATCGTTACAATTACAAAAGAGGCTGTAAAATTAACATGTCTAATGGAAAATAACTGTACCTGTGAATATACATGACTTTTGACTTTTTCGGCCGTCAGCAGTTTAAATTAACAGTTGGATGTATATGTTAATAAGTATAAGAGACATGGTCCTAAATAGAACTTAAGGAATTAAAAAAGGTGATACCTGTCCTACAGCAGTAGCTAGAATGTGGATTTGAGTCCAAATGTGCTTTTATATGTTGTAATATACAAGCCAAGAAGGAGGCAAATTGTGGCTAGTTTTTTTTTTTGTTTGTTTGTATGTTTGTTTGTTTATTTATTTTTTGATTTTTCAGTATTCAAGCAGGCAGCTTGAATTGTACTTGGTGGAGGAGAGGCTAAATCTGAATTAGTCAGTATAAAGCACCTTGAGGCAACTGTTGTGAATGTTGGTGCTATATAAATAAAACAGAATTGAGTTAAATCGGAAAGTTCAGAATAGCCCAAGGATGAGACAAATGTCTAAGTGGTCAGACAGACTGTAAATAGTGTTGGTGACACTGATAAATGCAGCCAGAAACTGAATTATTTTGCCTGTCAGTCTGAGGGTTGTGGAAGAATATATACATAGCTGAAATTTCCTCCAGCTTAAATAGTCAACTGGTAAGTCGAGAGAGAGAGAGAGAGAGA